CAACACACACACACACACACACACACCCACATCATGATGTATATAATGGATAATATATTTATATATAGTGTCCTCGATCGATTTTATTAATATACATCATAGAGAAGAGGAGAAAAACGGCGTGATCGCGCATGCGCCTATGCTTTTACAAAATGAACATGATTGGCAACTGTGAAACGAACGCTCGGTATGCATGTGTAATTGGTATCGTTTGATTGCGGCTGACGGTCGGCCCACCCGCTGCTTCTGATTAGGAATAGCGGGTCGGAGAGGCAAGGGGGGGTCGAGAACTTATGGGGGATACTGCTCGAGCCGGGTGCCATTAGAGGAACCGAACGTACACACTATGGGGCTCCGGAGAAAATCGAGCCGCATTCCACAGACGTCCTCGATGCATTCCACGTCGACTGCACGTTTCATTGCAATACGCACTGTATCTTTACGTCGTTGTCATCTCGGAGGATTTCACTTGCGGATGACGTTTCCTCTAATTTGTACATGTCTATATTAATTTACGTGTGTTACACTGCGATAAAATATATAATTAATACATTAACAGAGAAAAATTGATAAATTTGAATAATAAATAATGTATATTACATAAATAAAATAATAATATTATAAATCGTCTGACAAATTTTCTTCAAGTTGTAGTCACTTGTTGCATGTAGAAAGTGTGAGGTATTTTTTTATGTTTTGGGGAAATTCGTTGAAGATAAAATACAAATTATGTCTGGTTCTTTAATTTTTATTTTTTATATGCTTTTGTTTTAATTAATGTGATATAAGTATATGCGCGAGATATCTCGAATGATATTTTAATGATAGGATTTATTCACATATTCACAAAATCTGTCTGATTTACAATATTTGCGAATGAAATGATTCGATGACTTTACGTGACGCATCGCTGACTGAATTATTTTAGTTTTTTTTTTCTTTTGTTGCAGCGGGTCTCGAAGAGATTTCGGCCAGATTGAATCTTATGGTGAAGGCGGAGCTGGCCGAATTGGTCGCAGGGGCACCGATGAATCCAGGTGATCCCGAGACCAGATGTCAGTATCTCGAGAAGCTTTTAGGTAAGCACGGTCAGAATTTTAAGGCTCTCATTCGTGGCTATAAATTCTCGCGACGACGACCACTTGACATTACCACCTGTGAGCGTTGGTCACCGCTCTTCTCTAAGCGGTTGATACGCGTCCAGATAGAAATCGAATACTTGACGGCGTTTAGCGATAAAGCTGCCACTTGTGTCCACGCGTTTGAATTACTCTCAAAAATTAAAAACGAGACGTATCATCATCCCTGTCACGTTTAT